GTCTGAGTGGGTAAGAGCACTTGCCACCAACCCTGACAACCTGAGTGTGGTCTCTGAGAGCCACGTAGAGGAAGGAGAGAACTGACTCCAGGCCAGGCCGGTTTCACACACCTTCAGTCCCAGCACTTGGGAGGCAAAGGCAGGCAGATCTCTGTGAGTTTAAGACTAACCTGAGCCCGGCATTGGTGGCTCATGACTTTAAACTCAAGAAGCAGAGGCAGTCGGATCTCTGTGAGTTTGAGGCCAGCCTGGTCTACAGAGTGAGTTCCAGGACAGGCTCCAAAGCTACACAAGGAAACCCTGTCTTGAAAACTCCAAAACAAACCCCTGTTAAGAGAAGCTTCCCTTTACAAACCCCTGAATGTGGGTGTCATTGAGGAGGCCTAGGCAATCTATGGGACCTTGGTTAGTAGATGAGTATTTATCCCTGGCATACAAATGAACTTTGGGTGCCCATCCCACAATGAGAGATGCACTCTCACCCTGGACTCTTCCGGGAGGGTCCAGGCCCTACCCTGGATGAAATGACAGACTATGGACACCCCCATGGAGGGCCTCACCCTCCCTGGGGAAAGGAGGGGATATTGGAGAGGGGTTGGCGGGAGGGCGTGGGAGGAGGGGAGGGAAAGGGAGAGGGACCTGGGATTGACACATGAAGCAACCTTGTTTCTCGTTTAAATTTAAATTTAAAAAGAAAAAAGAAAAACCCCCAAACAAAACCAACAAACAATTGAAACAAAACAAAACAAAAGCCAACCAAACAGACAACAAAAAAATCATAGAGAGATAGCTGAATACTACTCTCTGCTTCCTGACATGGATGCCATGTGACCAGCTGCTCCAAGTTCCTGCTGCTGAGATGAACTTGCTTGGGAATGTGAGGACTTTATGATCACCCGTTCTATACAAAGTTATTGCTATAGATGCTGATGATGTCTCTGTGGTGAGGGGAGGGGAGGGGAGGCCTGGCTGAAACTGCAGTGGGGACCACTTCCTGAGGACCGGATCTTCAATGATGTCAATGAGCCCGCAGCTCCCTGTTGAAGGGACTCAGTGGTCCTGGTAGAGGACAGAACTTGTGCAAAATCATAGAGACCAGAGAGACTCCCATGCCGCAGGAAATGGGGTGAGGCAACCTTTGCCTAACAGGCCTTAGTGGCCAGTGGCAGTTTGGGGAACAGCCTAGTGGCCTGTGGGAAGGTTATAGAAGGTGGGGCACAGGACAGACACTGAGTTTTCTCCATGTACACTTCGGATGTGGGGATGGAAGGACAGGAAGGCCTAGGCAGTGCTGTTACCTTGGGGTGGCTGTGGTGGTGTTAATCCCAAAGAAGGGAGAAGAAAGACCACCAACCCAAACCATTATGGCCAAACTAATTTAAGCAAGTTTCGAGTACATGGGCTGCCTCTCCCTAAGGTGGGTTTGAGAGGTCAGCACTGGATGTGAGGAAAGCAAAGTTTTTATAGCTCAGGGGTAGAGGTTTCTAAAGGGGGATGTGGCAGGCAAAACAGGCAGTTATAAGAGCATAAGTATAACAAGTTAGTCATAGCAACCTCCCTAAACAAAGACATGATTGTAAGGTGGTCATTACAACAGGTAGTCGTAACAAGGTAGCCATAACAGCCCCCTTTTGAAACAAAGGGTGGAGTTGTAAGATGATCATAATAAACAATTTTTAGAAATAAAGAAGTGGTTGCCATTCCTGGAACAGGCAGTAAAGAACCTCTTGTACTTAAGGTTACAAGCGGGACATAGCCCAATCTTCGAGAAACAGGTTTAGCCATAAACAGGAATGAGCCTAGTTTGTCTTTAAGATGGCTTTTAAGCCTAAGATGGAGGAGGCAGGCTGGTTCTTCAGTGTCCTGGGTAGTAGCACACTAGAAAAGAGTTCCTGCCTTTGTGCCTGAGGCTTCACAGGGGACAGCAGCCAGAAGACAATCTGCCCAGCTAAAAACCAGAGTCTTGTGCTGAGATTTAGGTCAGAGACAAGGGTAGAACAGGAACCATTTGGAGAAGTGCTGTCGGAGTCTGATCGGATGCTATCCCTAAACACACAGCAGCTGAAGGAGGCAGTGCTGGTTTTGAAAGGGAGTCATCCCTCCAGCAGTCACTAATGGGCACCCACTGAAGCAGCCTCTGGAAGGCGTGACTGCTGGGAAGTCCTGACACGCCCTCTTCCCACAAAAATGAGTACACCTGGTCTCTGCTTCACACAGCCAAGCTATTAGTCAAGAAGTACCCATCTGACCCAGCGGTTGTCAACCCATGGGTCTCAATCTCCAACGGGGGCCACACATCAGATATCCTGCCTGTCAAATACTTACATTACGATTCATAACAGTAGTCTACAGTCTCGAAGGAACAACAAAACAATTTTATACTTGGGGGTCACCACAACATGAGGAACTGTATTAAAAGGGTGGCAGCATTGGGAAGGTTGAGAACCCCCGGGCCTATCAGACCCCTTCAGGGCTGAAGGCAGAGAGATAAGTCATTGTTCCAAAGCTGAAGTCACCTTGTGTTCTAGGGGCAGCAGATGATGTTCCCTTCAACTCCTCCACAAAGAGAGATTATTCTCCATAGCTGGCTTGGAACTCGCTATGTAGACCAGGCTGGCCTCAAACTCACAGAGCTCCACCTGCCTCTGCCCCCTCCAGTGGTAGGATTAACTGCATGTGCCACCATGCCAGGTCAGCCCCTACTTAAATTTAAACGTCATGTTAGAGCCCTGACACGGATCTCTATTCCCAATGTGACTGCACTGAAAAATCTCTCAGGCTTTTTCCCGTCACTCGTGTCTATAATTGCTTGTGTCTATAAGAGGTATACTGGACACAGGTGGCCAAGCCTAGCTTTTGATTCAAAATCTTCTCTGGTTACAGGCTATAATACCACAGACAAGGGATACCAAAAACAAAAACCAAAACAACCTGAGTTCACCCTTGGGACTGGGTGATGGGGGCAGGGAGAGGCAACTCTGCTTTGCTCAGACAACCAGATCCTGCCGGAGCCTTCAGAACTGCAGCTGAGCCAGTAGGTACTGGATGGATACTAAGAGAATACCAGGTGGGTACTGGGTAGATATTGGGAGGGTACAGATCCGGTATTGGGTGGGTACTGGGAGGGTAATTCATGATGACTTTTCCTGTTCTGTGATAAAATATTATGACATATGACTCAAGGAAGAAGGTAGGGAGAGCCAGGAGGTGGTGGCACAAGCCTTTAATCACAGCAGAGGCAGGCAAACCTCTGTGAGTTCGTGGCCAGCCTAGTCTAAAGAGTGAGTTCCAGGACAGCCAGGACTGTTTTCACGGAGAAACCCTGTATAGAAAAAAAAACAAAAAACAAAAATATATTATGGCAAAGAAGTTGTGACACACCGTGTCTGCAGTCAAGAAGACAACAAACAGGACCACATAGTGGCGCATAACTTTAATCCCAGCACCTGGGAGGCAGAGACAGGTAGATTTCTGTGAGTTCCAGGCCAGCCTGGTCTACATAGTGAGTTTCGGGCCAGCCAAGGGCTATATAGCAAGACCTTGTCTAAGTGGAAAAAGGGAAGGTGAAGGAGAAAGAAGGAGAAGAAGAGGAAGAAGAGGAGGAAGAAGAAGGAGAAGAAGAAGGAGGAGAGGAGGAGGAGGGGAGGAGGAGGGGGAGGAGGGGGAGGAGGGGAGGAGGAGGAGGAGGAGGAGGAGGAGGAGGAGGAGGAGGAGGTATGGTGTTGTTGCATTCACTTTCTTCTTTTTACACACTCCAGGATCCCAGCCCAGAGGACAGTACCTAACTAACTAATCAAGACAATAATCCTCCACAGGGATGCCCAGAGGCCATCTCCCAGGTTTCATCAAACGGACAACAGAGATTAACCATCACAGGTGCTGAGTGTCCTGTGTGGGGACTGAGCATGGCACTGACTGGGTACTGGGTGTGTACTGGTCACATACACACCCAGTACTGAGAGGGCACTGAGTGAGCATTGAGCAAATACTTGGCAGTAAGGACCCAAAGAAGAGTCCCACCTCAGGCTTGGCACTCTAAGTGCTCGGGCCAGAACCCTGGCTGCTCAATCCAATCAATACACCTGCAACTCCTGTGGTTTTATTTCTAGGAACAAACGCGGAAGTCCTCATGGTTTCCGCTGGTTCTTACACATCCCAATCTGGGCCACCTCTCCTGTCTGGGAGCTGGGTCTTCTGCTGTGTCCTCCCGGCTTTCCAGCACAGCTGCACCCTGAGCTGGGCTCCAGCCATCCCCTCCACAGAGTGCCCGCAGTTCCCACCGTCGCCTCACAGAGCCCCCCTCCCCCCTCCCCAGCCTTAGTGCAATGACCTGTGGGTGACCACGTCATCTGTCATCTCTAATGAGTCGGGTTATTTTTAGACAGGTGAAAAGCAAGCACCCTGGCCTCTCTCAGAGGATTTTCCACTCCTGTCTTCTACCACAACCTGGTTTCCTGTGGTTGTGGAGGCTGCCATCCTGGCCAGCTCTGTTGCCTTGGGGTGCAGAGAAAGACCTCAAGAAAAGAACCAAGCCCCCCCCCCATCTTTTACCCGCCATGAGAAACAGGGGATGCAGTCAGTACAAGCTGCTGGTAGAAGTGGGAAGCTGGGTGAAGCTCTTAGTTCCTCACTTGCTGTGTGACCCTGCTTGTGTCACTTTCCCTCTCTGAGCTTCTGTCACCCATATGTAAAAGCCGGGGGGTTGAACTGTTAATGACTTGAAAGCCTCAGACAGCTAAGATTTGCATGGAACTATGAGCTGTTGAGTCCTTTCCATCCCTGGGAATCTATTTCTTTCTATGAATGAAATCTAGCTGGCATCTCTTATAATGCGTATGCAAATCTATACAAATTACAATGGACACTAAAACAGTTTGTTCACAGGGGGATAAACTTAGTTCAAGTCTTCATATCTGTTTAGTTACCGCTCCCTACTCCACTCCACAGAGAGGAAGCATGCACAGAGAGGAAGCATGCACCGAGAGGCAAACTGACCTGCTCATGGTTGCACAGTGAACACTGACAAAGAGCCATTTGTAGGCAGGTTTCTAGCTTGTCCCTTTTCTCATCTGCTCTCCTGCTCTTCAGCCCTGAGGCTGGCACCGTACTGGAAGGGAGGAGAAGACATCACATTGTCTAGTCAGTGGATCCTGCTGGAATAAGCTCTATTGGGACAGGGAGAGTGTCTTCCTGGGGAGATGGTGGGGAATGGAAGGGCATTCTGTACAAAGTGAACGGCCTATGTGAAGATGGGGATGCATGCAAGGGAAGTCCAGCCCACTTGCTGGTTACCTTAGGAAGGCATCTTAAGACCACTTCCTGCCCCGGCATGCCCCACCTTGTCTCTTTACGGCTGGGTCGTCCCTCGGCTCTTTCCCCTGCCTGGAGGACAGGACACCTGTAGGAAACAGTGAAAAACAACCCTAGATAGATCACTAGAGGCAAATCCATGCAGAGAAATGGCAATTTTAAGAAATGACTGTCTGGGCATTGGTGGCACACGCCTTTAATCCCAGCACTCGGGAGGCAGAAGCAGGAGGATCTCTGTGAGTTCGAGGCCAGCCTGGTCTACAGATCGAGTTCTAGGACAGCCTCCAAAACAATACAGAGAAACCCTGTCTCAAAAAAAAATAAAGAAAGAAAGAAAAGAAAAGAAAAAGAAATGGCTGGAGAGTGGTTCAGAGGTTAAGATTACTGGCTGTTCAACTCCTACCCCCCACAAGGCCCACAGCCATCTGTAACTCTACTTCCAGGGGATCTAATACCCTCTTCTGACCTCCACAGGCACAAGCATGCAGGTGGTGCATACTTATATATGCGGGCCAAACACACACATGTAAAAATAAATTGATTAAACTTAATAATTTTCTTATTTATTTATTTATTTATTTATTTATTTATTGTGCATATAGCCTTTGGCCTGCAGGCCAGCAGAGGGTACCAGATCTCATTCAAGGTGGTTGTGAGCCACCATGTGGTTGTCGGGACTTGAACTCAGGACCTTTAGAAGAACAGTCAGTTCTCTTAACCGCTGAGCCATCTCTTCAGCCCCAAACTTAATAATTTTCTAAAAAATTAAATAAAAAAGAAGAATGTGAATTTTATTCTGAAGGCAACAGAGAACCATAGAAAGAAAGGACCGGACTGGCGTTTAGGATAACCCCGGCAAGGAAGTCGGCTGGGCAACTGGACCAGGTGGGCACCTGGGTACACCTCTAATGACACAGTCTGAACCTGAGTGGTCAGAGTCAAGGTGGGGACTGAGCTCCGTGGGATCTCCTTCACCCAGTGGGGAGAGGAACCAAGGCTCATCCTTTCTGTGCCTCTGCCCCCAGGCTGATGCCCGAGTAGAAACGAATGCTACAGAGGAAGCCTGGAATCCAGGGCAGAGGCATCTGCACCTAGATCTCCAGGGCCTTTTAATCTATTCTTCTGACTTGTGACAGAGAGATCCGAGGGCCTTAGGGAACCGTAAGTCAAGGATTTCTCAATTTATTTAGTACCCAGTAGGGCAAAGTACCCATGCAGAGGGATAGAAGATTGTCAAGGCTGTGTTTCCGATGGGTACTGGGATTTAGCCGCACAAATGCTCCAAGGCCATGTTTTCTGACCCAAACTGGGACACATGAGTCACACAAGCTTTTTCAGACTCAAGGTTTATTTGTATAAAAGGCCTTTTAACAACCCGGGTTCTGGGTTGAGCTCTGGCCTCCAGAAGATACACAGGGTCCTGCTCGCCCCCCAGTACCTCAGGCCCTAGCCTTATTTGAAAGAAAGGTTGATGCAGATATAGCTAGTTAAAGTGACCCAGTACTTGAGAGGTGGCAGGAGAATCAAGATCTCAAGGTCAGCCTTGGCTACATAAGACCCCCCTCTCTCTTTTTATTTTTTTATTTTATATTTTTTTTGTTTTGTTTTTGTTTTTTGAGACAGGGTTTCTCTGTGTAGCCTTGGAGCCTGTCCTCACTCTGTAGACCAGGCTGGCCTCAAACTCACATAGATCCGTCTGCCTCTGTCTCCCAAATGCTGGGATTAAAGGCGTGAGCCACTACTGCCCAGCAAGACCCTGTCTTAAGAAAAAAAAAAAAAAAAAAAAAGGAGGGGTGCCTTAACCCAATATGGCTTTCCTTATCTATACAGCAGAAAGACACTCAGGAGATAGCTAGAGACTGAGGAGTCCCCGGGCTGCCCATAAAAGCAGGGAGCATTGAAGAATGATCCACTCAGAGTTCTCTGAGGGCATCTTCAGTTTATGCTGAGTCCTCAGAGCTGGGAGGGAAGAAAGTTCAGCTTTGGAACAACCAGATGGCCCATTAGGTAGAGGCACTTGCTGCCAACCCTGAATCCCTGAGTTGGATCCCCAGGCTCCACATGGAGGAGGGAGAAAAGAGATTCTCACGAGTTGTCCTCTGGCTCTACACCCCCCTGTTGCCTGTGTGCACCCCTCCCACAATTTAAAAAAGTAAATAGCTGTAATATATGTTGTTTTGTTGTTGGTGTTTTGATTTTGTTGTTTGTTTGTTTCTCTGTGTATTTCTGGCTGTTCTGGAACTCACTCTGTAGACCAGGCTGGCCTCAAACTTAGAGATCTGCCTGCCTCTGCCTCCCGAGTGCTGGGATCAAAGGTGTGTGCCACCATGCCAGGCTATGTTTGTTTGTTTGTTTGCTTGCTTGCTTTTAAAAACAAACTCTAGCTTTGGAACTAGCTTTGGAACAAACTAACAGCCCTGGAAACAACACGACATCAACATTAAACTTGTCACTTGTGTCCCATCTGGCTCCCAACTCGTCATGGTACCCAAGGGTCTTCGAGAACACACACTTCCCAGGGTCAGGGCGGTGCTCTGAAGGACTCTTACCTGAGTCATGCCCTTGCCTCAGCCTTTTCCTTGTGCCCTCCTGGTTCAGCTCCCCTCACTGGCTCCTCTCTGGCCTCTCCGGCTGCTCCCTACTCCTTCCTACCCCCACACATTTCCCCTTCCTTCCTCAGTGGCGCAGGTGAGAGCAGATAACCCCGTGTCCTTTGTGTGTATGTATTTATCTATTTTTTCAGTGCTGGGGATTGAACTAGGCCTCTGGCATGCTAGGCAACCGTTCTACCAAGCTATTTCCCCAGTCCAGACCCCAACTGCCATTCCCTAGCAGTTGGACAGGTGAATGCTCCCAGCTCTGTCTCCTACCCTGTGAAATGGGAAGACCGATAGTTCTTCCCTCTGGGGTCACTGGAGGATGGGAAGACACAAACATGCCATCAAAGGGTTGAACCCCTGAAAACCCACCGGTGACAAGTTCTAGAAAATGGGTCCTGTTTCCTCATTGTACATAGTATTTGGGCTTCCTGGATTGTTACCCATGGGGTGTGGTGCCTGTTCATGCCTGGACCTCTCCTGGTAGCTGTGTCCATGCACACAGCAGTTTCTTGAAGAATGCTTGTTGGTTGAACTATTGAGCAAAGAACAGCTGGCAATGGCCATGAAGGCTTGGGGACACCTTTCGTAAGCCAGCTTGCCCATCCTTCTAGAAATGAAAGTTCTCAGAGGGACTGAGCGGAACCCTGAGCCTCAAGCCAGCACCCCAGCCTCACCCCAGATCCAGCTTCCACCCTCCCGTGGTGGCCCCCACATGCTGTCACCCACGCACACACCACCCTGTCCCCAGACAGCAGCTTCCTCTGACTCACATTTTCCATGGCTAGGTGGGGCTGAGCAGGTGGCAGGTGAAAACAGTTCTCAAGGTGTCTTCCCCTGCCCAGCCCTCGGCACCCCTACAGACCTCCTGTCTCTGCAGACTGTGTGTATCCTCGGCCCCTGATTTCAATGGCACAAGGCCACCTGGAGGCCAGAACACCAGAGGCTACACATGTTGTCACATGTCTCAGATCAGTGCAGGACAGCAGATGCAGGGATGTGCCACCTCTGAACCGTGGGACTGGGGGTAAGCCCCTACCTCCCTTTTCCCATCTGTGAACAGTCCCTAGGAGGGAGGACAGTGGGACATCAAGGGAGCAGGGAGGAGTCCTGCTGTCATGGGGTAAGTGGGCTCCTTGGCCAATCTCCCCAGAAAAGAGTTCATGTCGCAGCTGGTAACATTTGGGGGTCGGGGTAGGAGCTTGTAGAAATGGGGAAGGTTTCCTTCTCTGGGCCCAGTGCTCTGTCAGATGCTGAGGGGGTGAACAGTGAGTCTGTTTACAGTATTGGTGGGGTAGGAACTGAGAGGTACACTGTGGTGGGGAAAACACTAGCCTGGGAATTAGACATCTGGGTCTGGCTGCCTCTCTGCTTGACAGAAGCGTGTCCCTTCTCTTGAGGACTCACTGCCTCTGATCTACAATAAGGGTCCCACTCTCTATGCTCCTCAGGTCTGGAATTCCTGGCCACTCAGCTGAGAGAAAGCAAGTCTGTCTGGGGCAGACTTCCAAGTGGAGTCTGTTTCTAAGTCAATCCTGAAGGCAGGGATGGAATCTTGCCTCTAGGCCAAGGCCAATCCCCTTTGATTTCCTCCCACCGGCTTCTGCTCCAGATTCTTTGACTCCCTGTCAGTCCAATTCACTGCCCATCTCATCCGGCTGGGTGCTTCTTCCTCCTCCTGCCCCCCCTTCCTCCTTCTGGGTAAAGAGATGGGTGGGGGATGGATGGGTGGGTGGATGGATGGATGGGTGGACGGAGACAAATAGACATGGAGGGATAGCGATGGGTGACTCCATGGGACAGGTGGCCAGCTGATGAATGATGGAGTAAAATCATCAACCGACCATTGCTTTTAAAACAATGCAACTTCCCTAGAGTTCCACACCCACTGGGGTTGCCAGGCAACCCCCCCCTTGCTTGTGTCATTCCATTCCCCAGCTCCAGAGGATGGATGTGAGGATGAGGGTCCTCCCTGATTCTGCCCTGAGGTAAGCTGCCCACCGGAGAATCCTAGTCTACTGTTCCTTCTAAATTTTCCAGGCTCCCATGTGGACACTCGGGGCACCCCCTCTGGCTCAGGGAGCAAAGGTTTCTGGGTGTTTGGGTTCAGAAGGAATTGATGGTGATGATGAGAGTCAAGACGGGAGCTTCTCTCATGGCCCAAGCGAACTGCATCACTGCCTCCCCACGCAGGGAGCCAGTGCCTTCAGCCTCCTAGACTTCCCTTCAGCCAATCCTATATATCGATAATTGAAACAGTGAATTAAATGTATTATTTCAAAATTTATTTTGCATTCCTGGGGATCTCATGTTTGCACATATTGGGCAAATATAGGGATGTTTGTTTTTGGTTTTGTTTTGAGGCACAGTCTCTCTACACAGTCCTGACTGTCTTGGAACTCACTCTATAGACCAGGCTGACCTTGAACTCCCAGAGATCCACCTGCTTCTGTCTCCTGGGTGCTGGGATTAAAGGCGTGGGACACAACTTTTTGTGCCACAGCTTTTTATTTTTATTTTGCTTGAAACATGGTCTCTTTATCCCAAGTTGGCCTTGAACTCACTACATAGCAGAGTGTAACAGGCTTTCTCAGACTTCCAGCCCCCAAATCATGACATAGAGACTTACTATTAATTATGAATGCTTGTCATACTAGCTCCTGTAACTTAATCTAACCTGTTTCTCTCCATCTATGTTTTGTCTCAGGGCTTTTTACCCCTCTTTCATTCTGTATGTTCTACTTTCCTGCTTCCTCTGTGTCTGGCTGGCTGGTGACTGCCTAGCTGACTCTTGGTTTTTCCCTCTCTCTCTCCCTTGTTCTTTCAATTTAGTCAATTCAGTTTAATTTCTACCTTGGTTTTTTTTTTTCTCGAGACAGGGTTTCTCTGTATTGTTTTGGAGGCTGTCCTGGAACTCACTCTGTAGACCAGGCTGGCCTCGAACTCACAGAGATCCAATTGTGTCTGCCTCCTGAGTGCTGGGATTAAAGGCATATGTCACCAACACCTGGCGAAATTGGTTATTTTTGTGTCATGTGTTTATGTAAAATAAAATAAACATCCACAGAACAGAGTGAAGTTAAAAACTGGCATGTGCCACCAATGCCCGGCATTCAATTTCTATCTTAACTAAGGAAAACAGTAACTGTAACTATCTAGTCTTTAACTCCATCAAAGACCCCAGAAAGATATATTACCCGAGTAGACAGAAAACGCAGTGCCAGCCACTTCCAAAACTATAAAAATGACAAACATATGGCTACCTGGACAGTCACCCAAGATTCCTCTGCAACACTGGGGCACCCGTCTTTGGCCTACAGGTCTAGAATATCTGGTAGGCTTTTCTATGAAGCAGGAATTTTGAAGGACTTTCCTGCCTTGTCTTGGCAAAGTTCAGCAGTGTCTTTCTTTTGTGTCCTGTTAGTCCAGAGTGGACAGCATACTGTCAGCAGTCAAAGCAAGAGGAGATTCTTGCCCAAATGGCTAGCTTTTCCACAATAAAAGCAAACTCCATATGGAGGTTCTTCAATGCCCATCATCCTTTTAAGAAGTAGATTGGTGCTTTAGGGAACAGAGTTGTCTCACTCTCATGAAAAGCCTTAGGTTATTAAACATCTTAAATGCCATATTCCATAGGTCTTTGAAGCATTGGAAAAGCATCTATCTAAAATATATTTTTTAACCTTGAAAACATACCTAACATGGATACAAGCCTGATTAATATAGATGACTACTAACCTAAATTATACCTAACTATATTTCTAAGAAATACCTAAATTATACATTACATTTTAAAATGAGCTGCATGAGCACAATACCCCAAACAAGAGTAGAAGCATAGATTCAGTATAACAAAATAACTTTAGGTTTGTATCAATATACCAAAATCCATACCAATGTAAAATATTTGATATGAATAGTTGCCTTTTTATCCTATAGACCTATATCCCCACTAAATAATAACAAACATCCATAACCCATCAAATGACCATAAACCACCCATTCCACCTCTTGGGAATGTGGGTATTCTGTTCTCAAGCGGCTTCCTGTTGTCTGAGGGTGACAGCATCTTTAAGGGACCCTAAGAAAATTGAGATAATGGTCAAGTCCTGGGAAAAATAATTGTAGCATTTGTTGTTCAGTCTCAGAACTATTCCCATGCAGAGGGATCAGTACATACACCACCTGTCTTATAGTTTTTCTTGGTTTCCTTATGTCTGTAGTGAAGATTTTCAGGAGGTCTCCACTGATCAAACCTTGAATGAATCCACAGCCTCTCATTTCTTGTGGGAACAAAAGCATAACCTCTTCCCGGATGCCATACATTTCTGAATTCCATCTTAAAGTTGAGGCATTTTAAAAGTATCTAGGCTGGCCGGGCATTGGTGGCGCACGCCTTTAATCCCAGCACTTGGGAGGCAGAGGCAGGTGGATCTCTGTGAGTTCCAGGCCAGCCTGGTCTACAAAGCGAGTTCCAGGACAGCCTCCAAAACAATACAGAGAAACCCTGTCTCGAAAAACCAAAAAAAAAAAAAAAAAAAAAAAAAAAAAGTATCTAGGCTGTTTTTTGCAATCCCATGTCTCTCAGCAGTTATCATTCACTCATCAGCATTCAAAAAATTCAGTCAATACACCATCATACAGAATCCAGACTCCCTGTGTAGCTGCCTTCTTTATGTGGTTTATTCTTTTTATATTAGTTTACTCTCTCTTTAAAGACTTTACTATTATTTAACTATTGACTTTTTATTTTATTTATTTATTTATTATGAATACAACATCCTGCCTCTATGTATGTCTGCAGGCCAGGAGAGGGCACATGGTTGTGAGCCACCATGTGGTTGCTGGGAATTGAACTCAGGACCTCTGGAAGAGCAGTCAGTGCTCTTAACCTCTGAGACATCTCTCCAGCCCCCTTGACTTTTTTCTATGACTGTCTTTATCTGTTTTCTTTACTTTCTTAAGCCTACACAACATTTTTTTAACACGCTGCAACCTTTTTAGAGGATTTTTTTTTGGTCTGGACTTGTCTTTACTGTGTGTCTCTAGACTTTTCTGACCATGTGAGTCAAACCTAAATTGCTAAGTGACAGTTATGGCCCTCCACCCTAGCTCTGATAGCTGGCTCCGACACATCGTTGGGTCTGTGAGAGCCACGTCTTAAGAACATTTAAGTGTAACTGGGAGCTGCTCTAGGAAGCTGGTATCTGCACTGTGGCAGGTGTTTTTACTTAGCTTGTTTCTCCGGATACACAAGTGCTCACTGGATGACAGAGGCTCTTAAAGGAGCCATTTTCAGGTGTTTTTTGTTTGTTTGTTTGTTTGTTTTGTTCTGCTTTTTTGTTAGTTTTGTTTTGTTTTGTTTTGTTTTGCTATCGCAGGCCTTATGTGGAAATATGAGCCTCATGTTGGAATGCCAAATGTATCACTCTTTCTTTTGGGCCACTAACCAGCTCCCAAATAAAGACATGGAGATTTGGTATTAGTTATGAATGCTCAGCCTTAGTGTGTGCTTGTCTGCTAGCTCTTATGACTTAATTTAACCTGTTTCTCTTCATCTATGTTTTGCCTCGGGACTTTTTACCTTTCTTTCAGTCTGTATGTCATTCTGTGTCTGCTTGGCTGGTGGCTGCCCGGCTAGCCCAAGGCTCTCCCTCTCCTTCCTTGTTCTTTTCTCCCTTCTCTTCACCCACGCCTAGATTCCTCCTCCTACTTATTCTCTCTGCCTTCTGGCCTCGCCTATCCCTCTTCTGCCTAGCTACTGGCCATTCAGCTTTTTTTTTTTTTTTTTTTTTTTTTTGGTTTTTCGAGACAGGGTTTCTCTATGGCTTTGGAGGCTGTCCTGGAACTCACTTTGTAGACCAGGCTGGCCTCGAACTCACAGAGATCCACCTGCCTCTGCCTCCCAAGTGCTGGGATTAAAGGCGTGCACCACCAACGCCCGGCTCAGCTTTTTATTAGAGCAATTAGGTACCTTAGGCAGGCAAGGTAAAACAGCAACACATCTTTACATAGTTAAGCAAATGCAGCATAAACAAATGCAACCCAGCTGGGCAGTAGTGGTGCACGCCTTTAATCCCAGCACTCAGGAGGCAGAGGCAGGTGGATCTCTGTGAGTTTGAGGCCGGGCTGGACCGACAGCCTCCAAAACAATACAGAGAAACCCTGTCTCGTTAAAACAAACAAACAAACAAACAAACAAATTCAACCCATCTTTACATAGTTAAAGTAATATTCCACAACAGCTGAGGATAGCCTTGAACTTCCATACCCTGTATTGTTTAAGCGGTACTAGGGATGAAACACAGGACTTTGGGCAAGGCGGGCATTCTACCAAATGCGTCACATCCCCAGCTCCACATTTGATATTTAAGTAGAAAAAAAATGATAGTGTGAAGCATACATATGCCAGCAATTCCAGCGCTGAGGAGGCTGAGGCAGGAGAATATCTAGTTTGAGATGAGAAAGGAAGGGGGGGGGGAGAAAGGGGAGAGGAAGGGAGGGGAGGGGAGGAGAGGAGACGGAGAAGAAGGAAACTGGTCTCAGAAGTATTCAACTGTTTAGGTGTCTGTCTCCCCTTTCCACCAAGTGGCTCCTTGAGGAAGGCAATGCCCCTTGGTCATCTAGCCCATACAGACACACAGCAAAAGTCAATTCCATGAATAAAGATATGCACAGGAGCCGGGGTTGAGGAGATATAGGTGGGTTGGCCCGAAGGGTAAGCAAACATGATGACCCAAAGCAGAGTCCCAGAACCCACATAAAAGGCCGGATGAGAGACTGCTTGCACCTATAACCCCAGAACTCCTACCTGGAGAT